TATATGCGCAAACATGCTCCTTTTGTTCATGATCAGTACCTCGGTAATTTCCTTGAGGATTGGATTCAGTTATCAAAGGGCATATATTCGGCTATTTCAACAAATCTCCATATTTTTAAGGATCAGTACAAATTTGTCTATTTGGTCGTGTATGAGGCTCTGGCATGTGGAAACACAGAAATTCAAGTTGAAAACCTCAACATTGCAGTAAGAAACCTTTCAAAGATTGACAACAGCACAAATCAAAGTTTCTTTATGCAAGAGTTTCAGGTATGAACATGACATTTACAGCAGACAAGAAAACCGTTTGTTCTCAAACAACTCTTTATTCTCCTCTTAGCGTTTGAATGCTGTTACAAGTACGGCAGGAAGTCCTATGGGTAAGATATTGTTAATTGTAATATAAAAGATGAATGGCATTTGATCCAGAATAAGGAATCTGTTATCTGAATACTACAGATGATCACAGACGTGTCAAACTGAACAACAAAGAAAAAACAGGAGAATACATCAACGCAACATATGTGGATGTAAGGAACATAATACAAATTGAAGTTAAGTGACAAAGACAGACAAACAGATGATTCAGTGTTGATTCAATGCTTTTCTTCAGACTTACAGAGAACGAGACGCCTACATAGTAACCCAGTCCCCCACTTGTAAAACGGTTGAAGAGTTTTGGAGACTGGTGATGGACCACGGTATTGGAACCATTGTAATGTTAAGCAAGTTGCAAGAAAACAACCAGGTAAAAGACAAATGTGGTGAACATGTGTTGGTCACATCTGAATGCTGGTGATTTGCATGGAGGAGGTATGATGGACAAGCGCGGGCGGTCACTTGATTAGAAGTCTTGTACAATTAGAAGTTGACATGTCACAAAACTTCAATTTTATATCCTGCAATGTCAACCCCATAACGATGTTTCGCAGTGCAAAAAATTCTGAGGACGTTCAAAAGGTTGTACTTTGTTTTGATGCACCTGTACGATTGCTAGATAGYCATTCGTGAAAASAAAATTCAGAGTATCAGTATCCTAAAGCGCAGCTTGTCTGTTGCTAGTATTTTGTCGGTTCGATTTCCTGTTTTTGGTAACGAGACAAAATATGATTTGAGTTTGAAGCTTGGTTTTCGCACCGAGAGTCATTGCATTTTTTTCACGTATGTTTATAATTTTACCTCAGTGCAGTAGGAATATTGTGCGCTATACACATTTATCGCCACACAGGTCGTTCCATCAAAAAAATGTATTTGTATTGTACAAATGGGCTTTATATGTTAGTATTTGAACTGATCAGAGTTAAACTTCTATGTGATGACTTTTCATTTGAAGACTTTTCATCAATACTGGCCCAACGAGAAAGAAATGATGACATGTGATAACATTAAAGTAAAGCAGATCAAAGTGGAATATCTAGATGAAGTAACTGTGCGCACTTTCCAAGTAATCAACTCAACGGTAGGTGGAAGAATTATAGGTGGAGAGAGAAACTGCTGAAAGACAATGAGTCTTCTGAAATTCACAATTTAACTGATTTAGTTGTTACTAAGACACACTCCAAGAAAGCCGGGGCGTTTTGGGAAAGCTAATTCTTATCATACCTTGTACGCACAGCACACGATGGCCAGATATATATTTCGACTGTTTTTCTATTAACTTTTATCATTTATTTTATTATTTATTTTATTATTTTACATGTATGGAATGTCGTTCAAATACAGAAAAGCGTTGACGTAGTTCACTTACAGCATACTGATTGGAAAGATAAACGCATACCGTCCAACCCTCAAAGTATTTTGAACCTATTGAACGAGGTCCAAAAATCCCAGCATAGGTTTGCYGGACAATCACCAGTGCTTGTCCATTGTAGGTATGTATGGACGTACTAGAAACCTTTGCCACCTTTAACTTTATTAGAATAACTGGCTGAGCAGTACAAATTTCATTCTGCTGTTCTGTCACTACTGCATCCCAAGTTCGCTCTCCAAGGGCTTCGAATGTTTTTTAATCTGACGTATCTCGATCATTTAAGACCTAGGTGTAATAAAAGGGGTGTTGACAGCAAGTTGCCTCCCAAAATAAATACTTTCTTATAAAATGTTTAATTACTTTCCTAGTAACGGTGTAGGTCGTAGTGGTACATTCTGTAGCATTGCCTCAACACTTGAACGCGTTAAACAGGAACAAGTACTGGAYGTGTTTCAGACAGTCAAGTCTGTGCGTGAAAGCAGACGAGGAGCAGTCGAAACTTTGGTAAGTGGCCTGCAACAGAACTGTATTATCGTATTATATGTAAGAATGTGCTGTTTTGATCTCAGTACATTTCATAATTTCTTCATAGCCCAAGATGGCGGCCATTTTAATTATAGTTCTATTGAATTGCTGGAATATTTCTAATCTATGCCTGACCAAATGCGCATACTTTGGATTTACATAAAAAAACATGCTTAAAATTCGATCATTATAATCATTTGTGGTTGTTYTTCTACAGGATCAATACAAGTTCTGCTATACTATTGTACAGAATTACCTTCAGTCATTCAGTAATTAYGAYAACTTCAAAGGAAAATAAAACGCACMAGCACAAAGTGWYATCWYTATCAAAAACAAGATTTTGASAAATGCAATTGGTATTGCCTGCATTGCCGATAGTCAGCGGTTTTAGGAGTCTGAGAAAATGAGCTGGCGACATTGCTCGACTACTCTGCTTACGCTTTGTCCGTAAATACAATCTAAATAGTTTATTTTCCTAATTCAATTTTTTATTTTTTTTATTTTTTTTTTCAACTGATGTTTTTAACTGTGATTTTAAACTTGTCTTAAATAAACACTGAATATCAGTTATCATGCGGAAACTATGATATTTGGTTTCACATGTGCAGTTTCCCAACGAAAAATCGAAGTCTCTGATTGGATACCGCCGGGATGACGCAGAATATGGTTTGTGCAATATATGGATACTGATGACACATGGGAATTTTTGAACCAATCAAATCTRAGACTCATTCGTCTCCAACCTGAGTCTTCGATTTTCCGCACTGAGAGGGATCTGGGTACGAGAATTGCACTCTACTTCCACGATCTAAAAGTCAATTTTCTTTTGATTATAAATTTATTATATAAAAACATATATCTGCACTTGATATATAGGATATGTACATGTATTTAGTAGAGCTAGCCAGCTAGTTAGCTTTGTGCTAACTCAGTGGAACGGTCTGCATGCAGTTATATTTTGCTACATATGTTATGCTAAAAATTAGAGTGTTTTAGTAAAACCGTGAAAAATTAGTAATACTGAATTGTATTATCTTATGCTAAGTCTAATTTTGTTTTCTTTTATCAGCTGGTATCTTTTGCACAATTTTGGTAATTAGTGTTTCACACTTTTACTGAACGCACTCTTGTCAATCAAACAATGTTCATCACAATATCAACGATTCTAATCTAAAACATAGTTATTAACGTCTTAGTGCAACTTCATTGACAAAGYTCGTATGAGCCATACAACTCACAGACTCACAGTCACATCATCACCTATCAGGACAAAAGGAGCCCAGAAATTCGGTTTTTCGTATTGCACCATCTCTCTCATTTCTTTCATGGCTTGCTGGAGACTTCTACTTGCACTCTTCCCTTGCTTAAGATGTGCGTAGAACTTCTGCATAAACACTCTCGTACCAAGGTCCTCTACCGCCCACAAGGATGCCACAACAGCAAGGGCACCGGCAGCAAGAAATGCTYGACTCATTCCAATCACACCCTCTRACTTGATCTCACCACGACCGCTATGACAGCAGCTCAACACAACAAGTCTTGCTCGTAGTCCAATCTCTTGCACTTCGTTGATTGTCAACAGATAGTCTTCTTCTGAGGGTRTGGTCTGTGTGCCCTTTAGAGATTCGGGTGGACTGAGTACTATTTCTCCACTGTCTGCACATCCATGTGCTGCAAAGTGAATGACAGCAACACCTTCCTTGAGCCGYTCCTTGATAGTTTGCTTGGTTGCTTKTGCTCCTGTTAGTGCATTCACRCCAAGAATACAACCAATCTKTTCTGCTTCGAGCCGAGCATTTGGTAATSGATKRAAAAATATTTCGTTRCCTTTCAACATTCTTTTTCCCTCGACGTCAGGATCGCCAACGATGAGTGCACCTTTCATGTTGTGTGATTCTGGAGAGGATTCATTCAGGATCTTTAAKRTGKTAAGAGAGGGARCAATTCGAATACGTTTAGTCTCTGACAAATATCTTTGAGTCTTAGGATCTCGTAGAGCTGCGAATGGGACTTTGAACAAAGGTCCATCAGGGATGATAACAATCTCTTCGTGGGTCAGCTTATCCTGTACTGGAGTRATCAATGCACCAAAGAGTACTTCGAAGTAATCATCGTCRAGTTCTTCATCATAAGTATTTCTCTTGCTGTTTTTAAACTCTTGCATCGAGCCTTCATCATTGTCAAAAGAACYAATTAAATGATGGCTGAATGAGCGATTCTCAGCTCTAGACTCAACTGTTGTTCCTCTAGTAGACATTGTCTTGTAGGTTTTATCAACTATGTCATGAAGGACATCCTTGCTGTCCTGATCAATGTCTTTTTCGAGAGATTTTTCCTTTAGTAATTGTTTGATGTCTTTAAGTTCATTCCGATAAAACGACACACGACTGTCTAAATTAAGGACCCATGTTCCAACTTGCAATTCAAAATTGCTTCTTCTCATCTTCATAAGATCAGAGAAAAACAAAATGCAAGAATCTTGAGAAAGCACTTTGTTCGCGATGTCAGCGTATCCAAGAAAGTCGTAATGTGTGTCGAGGTCGTTCTTATCGATCTTGTATTTTTTCATCAAAAGGTCTTCCAGTGCACGTCCTCGTTCCTGCTCCGACACCAGTAGTGCTCTCTCAGGTTGTTCAGTTTCGATGTAGAATTCCACAAGTAGTTTGTGTGTGTAGACGAAGGTATCAACTACATTGACCTTGTGTTGATCCTGTTCTCCGATGTCTTGGAAAAGCAAGTCGTACCATTTAAGACTCTCTATAAGGAAGTTTTCTGCTTTTTCCTTGTGTTCAACGGATTTTCCATCAAGAAACTGAAAGAGAAAAGCAGTTCCAAGGTTCCTGCAGGCTTTTCCGGCTGCTTCTTTGTTGCCAACATCCTTAGCGAGATTGARGTTTGCTGTATAATAATGGACAGCCTTTGGATAGTTCATTTTGTAGTCTTGATAAACATATCCCAAGTATTCATATGCTTTYCCTTCTGCGTTTCTGTCACCGATTTCGTTCGCTAAGTTTGCACTTCTTTCAAGATATTGAATGGCATCTTGAAATTTTCCGATAWRAAAGGARTTTTTTCCAAGATCATGGTAAGCAAATACTTGTTCATGCTTATTTCCTAACAATTGAACTATATTAAGTTGTCTCTTAGCGTATTCAAGTGCCTTTTYGTAATCTCCGGAATGGCTRCTTATACGACTTAAAATACAGTACCCTCTTGCTTCTGCCTCTGGATCTCCGCTACTTATTGCTAAATCTGCACTTTTTTGGTAATGCTTCTGTGCTTCCARAGGATTTCCTAGCGCCTGGTAAGCATTACCTATGTTACAATACACTAACTCTTGTAGATGTTTGTCCTCATATTCTACTGCAATGGCTAGGCATTTCTTATACCCCTGAAACGCTTCCTGGTATCTACCTATCGCTACGTAAACATTGCCTAAATTACAATACACGWTTGCCTCTGCTAACGCATCGCCTTTSTCGAGAACAATTTCTAATTGCTTTTCAAGGCATTCGATCGATTCTTTTTGACGATTCATTTTGCCATTTAAAACTCCCATAKTGYTGTATGCTTTATTTTGACTCTCTTTATCACCCATTTTAATAGCGACTTGGAGATATTTCTCTTGATATTCGAGAGCCTCTCTGTAATTGCTTGATGAAGAAAAGACATCAGCTATATTAGAGTAGGCTCTTGCTTCCTCACTGATGTCTCCAATTTCTCTTGATATTTGGAGAGCTTTCTTGTGATATACGATAGCTTCTTCATAATTTCGYAAACSAGCGTATGCTCTGGCAATATCACTGTCTACTTTACCTTCCTCCTTCCTATCTCCCTTCTGCACTGCAATATTCAATCTTTTTTCGTAGCATTCTATGGCTTCTCGATATTTCTCTAARTTTTTATAAGCAATTCCTATGTTTACATATGCACATTCCTCCCCGTATTTGTCTCCTATCTCTACCGCTATACTTAAGCTACTTTTGTGACATACCAATGCATCCTCATTTTTCTGCATTTCAAAATAGGCATTACCTATRAACCTGTGTGCTTCTACTTCCCCTCTTCTRTCTCCTAGCATTTTAGCCATATTCAGGTACTTTTGMAAATAGGACACTGCATTATCATAATGACGCATGSTGTGGCTATCAGTTCCTAAGCATAAGTAGGCTGTTTTCTGTGCCTCTTTGTTGTCATACCTGACAGCGTACTCAAGGCTGTAACTGTGATTTTTGATTGCTTCTTGATAGTTTTTAAGCTGAAWAWACGCATCTCCTATCAGTCGATAAGCCATACCTTTGTTACCATCACTACGTTCCAGACTTCTTTCGTAGAATGAAATCGCTTCTTCATATTTTTCTAAAGCCATGTAGSTGTTACCTAAATTATGGCATGCCCTAGCCTCTACATAAACATCATTTGCCTCTGATGCCATGGAAAGGCTTSTTTCTAGATATTTGATTGACTCTCTATATTCGTACTGCGTGTTGCCGCTAATAAAGTAGGTACTTCCTAGATTGCAATATGTCATTCTTTCTATGCCACTATCTCCCTTTCCTTGCAATACGTGAAGGCACTTCTGRTAATACTCTATCGCCTTCTTGTAATTACCTAACGAGCTATGTGCGTGAGCTATCTTATARTATGCYCTTCCCTCTGGAATGCTTAACCCTAACTCTATGGCAACATTTGCCAAGTTCGTGTGACACTGAATTGCTTCAATSAACTGTTGTAGTGACATATAAACTTGTCCAAGGTTGTCTAGTGMAGAAAGTTCCTCCTTTTTATTTCCTTTCTCAATGGCTCTTTTCACTTGGTCTTTGTACATTTCGAGGTTTGATCCCTTTTCATCCATTKTGTGACAAATGATCTCGATGCAGCTGTTTAAATAAGAATAGCACGATTTAGTATAATTACATGGGCTTCCTGTGGAAGACCATGTCTAAAATTACAAACTRAAAATTACCGACGACTTTTCTTCGTCTTCTGGTTCAAAGTGGTATATCCGGGACCAATTACTTTTATTGTTTATTATTATTGTTTATTCATGTTTCTAAGCAATGATTCTAAGCTCGCCTCGTGCTTACTTCGGTCCTTCGCATAACAAATTTAAAGATTGAACATACAGATCTAGCTTCTGACAAACAAGACTATCGATCTGTCTTTACAGATAAGGTCAGCCAAGGATGCAACTCTCAGAGCAGCCGATTAACTTACTTTTTTTACAATTAATGCTAAGTGCATTGCTTGCTTTATTATTTTTCATTAAAGGAAATATGTTTTGCTTTAGTCTTAGTAATATTGAATTTATTAGGGTTAAATATAGTACAATTCTTCGATTACTAGACTCAAACTATTGTCACGTCTGATTGTGGTACCACAGGAAGCCCATGTAAACGATTGCTGATCGTCTAGTTTTAGATTTGAATACGGAGTTTCACGCGCTGTGGATTGGTTACCGAGCGATGAAATGTAAGCCAATATTCAACTCGGCGTGAATAAGATACGATTTAATAAGTTTTTGATCGTTAAAAAGTTATCAGAGATGACAGAAAAGTAATAATGAATAATAATCATAAATAAAACATGCTGTTTTACTTTTATTGGTAAAAGTTTTGAAGAGTTTGCTTAAGCATTTTTCAACTATTGCAAGAGGTTCTGGTTGTTGTAGTCGTTCCGGCGCCTGTTCGTTTGAATGAAAATRACATTGAAAAACCTTATCTTAGAACATTTATTGAATCCTTTAGAAGTTCAAATGGACTAAAAACAATTATTTAATCCATATTTGATATGACCACATCGAGAAAAACCAATATTGAAGTCGATTAAAAGTAAAAAATTGTGGAAGTTAATTCATCATTACTAGTTCATCGTCAATACCAGCCCAACGGAGCCAAATGAAAACTCTTCCATCTGAAAATACACCTGAATAGTGTCGTAGCCAAACATATTTTCTAAGCTTTAGCCGAGATCAGGATGAGAGCACTGCTCTACAGAAAAAAATTAAAAACGGCCAAACTATTGTTAGATGCGCTACTGAATGAACGACAACTACGAAATGACTTCCTTGCAATTGTCTTTGCGTTTTACAATTAACTTTTCTTATTATTATTTTAGTCGACTTTTTCTGTGGAACTCCTGGAATTCAATTCTGAAGGATCATATTATAATCACTTTGCGACGAAGAATCAATGAAGAATTGTTAAATGATACAAGTGTATTTGTTAGAATATTTGGTATAGAATAAATTAAATATCATATATTCAAGCCTAAATATCTCTGGAACTCTTCTAGTAAAGTTCATATTTCGCTCGTTTGTCGACGTTATATGAAAATGAGGAATAGTTACATAACTGTAAAAAAGTGGTTTTCCGATTTCGGGTGTAAGGATATCTGGTGATATCTTGAATTTCAACTGCTAGTTTGAAGAAATGTAGGTCGAGATGGAAGGGTTTTCGCAACCAAAATATAAACCGGAATTTTGACTGCTTCAATGRTTTGCAAAACAACAGACTTAACTCATTTGCTATAGTTTTCACTATTTCCACGACACATTTGGCACCGTGACACCAGTATCTACCAACACTTGTATTAAATAGCTCAAGTTCTCATGATGATCAACTTTATAAAGACTTTTTAAACTTGGTAATTATCAGTTTTAGCTCATAGCCCAGCGAAGCTCTCAAAACAATTCCAACTTACCAGGATAAACTCTCAAAATGATGGTCGTTCGGTAAAATTGTGTCCAGTATTTTTTCAGTACCACGTACAATGTCTATCAAGTTGACGGCAAAAAGTTGGTGACGCCATCCTARTTCCTTTTTCTGCTAAATGACTTCAGGAGAGGACTGATCAGTTTCCGCTTTGAAGACCTCTGCTGTTATCAGACAATTGAGTGTACACTTCAGTAATTCACTTTATGATAGTGGCATTTATAGCAATAATAAGGAGCTATAAGGTTATTTTCATGTTATATTTGCTTGTCAATCCGTTTGTAAGGSTTTCTCGGTATTTTTCCCATTCAACAGCTGAAGTATAACCATTTGAAATACAGCAGTGATTCTTATCAAATGCGTGTAAGCCATCCAGCTAACCAGCCATGGTATGCATKAGTCTTTTGATTGAGTTCCTGTTTTGATTTTTTGACATGTACACAGGTATCCCAGGCTAAGTGTTTGTGTGGTTTTTAGCATTTATACGAAATATATTAATTTCAATAGAAATAAACATCTCTATCTGTGTGTTGTKTTTTTCTTTRCATTTMTTTGRAGTTTTAGTCTATTTGCTTCAACATTGAGCGATTTACAGCTGTTGTTTCAGTCCCAGTGTCCTAAGGGACGGACCATGGGATTTTCGAGGGGGGTTAAAGTTGAACCATTACACTAGTCTGATTTCAAGTTATT